TAATGTATTTATAAAGTGATGGTACAAGTTTTGCYTGAAGTTTTCCTTCTTTTTCAAACCCTTAAAACAAAAAGCTTCAAATCAAATACCTWGCTTTAATCCACAACATTCTCAATTCTTCATAAGAGATTCATYACTTCTTTAGAAGAGGTGCATATTAATTATTCATAGCCATGTTAGATTGTGTGCTTTCTTGCATATTACTGATTTTGTTAAAAATGTTTCAATAACTGGATGACTACACTTCAAAACCTTGTGCAGTTTGTTGAATAAAGTTTTCTAGAAATGGCAAAGTCAATGCTTATCAACATAGCCTGCTGCCTATTATTATTTCATCTTGTGGTGTCTAACCTTGTGGTTTTGTRTAGTAGAGTAGATCATCCTTGGAAATAAAATTGTTGAGAATACTAACACACTCATGTTGTCCTAGAAAAGAACATAAATTATGTTTTAAAGAAACAAAATGCAGCAAAAAAGGATCAAMAAATTATCTTAGTGAGGGGATATGTACTTCTAAGGATAAGTAGCATAATTCACCAGTCGAATAATCAAAGGTTATTGAGCTAAGGGGGAAGGGTGGGGAGGGGAGGGGGGAGAATCTGCATGGCAAGTGGTTCTTTACCGACAAAGGCTCCAAGCTGCGCTGCTGTTTTCCCTAAGTTGTTCTCTGCATTAACATTTGCACCAGCTTCTAATAGRAGTCTTGTTACTTCAGATGCTCCTTTATCAAAAATGAACACACAAAGTAGATCAMTGACATTTTTAAAACATAGCATATATTATAGAAGAATAAGCAATGGAAGAAAGGGAATGAGAATGAAATGAATTATGGATTTTTAAGTAAGAAATGAGAAGTGTTAATGAAGAATGAGGAATAAAAAAGGAAGAAATAGAGGAAGTGATGAAGTTGGAAGTTGGAAGCAGGAAAGAACAGAAAACAATAAAATAAAAAGAGAGAATGATAATATACATGTAGAGTAAAAGGCAAAAAATTAACYTTGTAAGAAAAGAGAGTCACAGCAGGATGCAAGACAATGAATGGAAGGAGGGATGGTAATTTAGGAAATTATATTCCAAACATTTATTATCAAAATAAGCTTTAAACATACAAAGTACTCCCCTGTGTCATAAATTATTATCTTTCTTTAGTTTACTATATTTTTACCTGCAACACAGCTGAACATGAGGGCTGAATACTGTGAAAAACAACAATGCATCAGAAAACAGCTGTTTTGATCGAATATTTTTCTCTAACAAAACATAGATTATGACCTACCCGATGTTCATGTTGGTTGGAATTAACATCAGCACCGTGTGCAAGTAGGATCTCTGTTATTTCAACATTGCCTTTGTATGCAGCATGCATCAATGGACTCATTCCTTGCTGTATTTATAATAATACAATTCAGTCAGTCGCAGAAAATAATATTCAAAGGAATATATACAAGGCCAAGCCAATTCAATTAAAATTGAGTTTCTTTGCAATTCACAAAAGTCTTGAAATGTTAAGTTTTAGTTTATATAATAACTTCAAGCTCGTTATATTTCAGTTTTTTATAAGTTGATTCTTAATTGAGGCTAATAAAATTGACTAATTAACGTTAAAATGAGCGAGAAACTAGTGCTGTCAAAAATCACTGACCTCATCATGGCAGTTTACGCTGACAGCTGATGAGCTCAAAAGCCGTCTTACTTCATCGATATTGACTGAAATCACAACAAAACTACGCTGTTAGAATATCTATCTATCTTACAACGGAAAAAATAAAAAGATCCCAATAATTACCTTTATTTATTGCGTTGATGAGTTCTTTTTCAGCATCATTCGTCTTGTGCGCCTCCATCTTTTTTTTACACAACAATGATAACCGCTGATCGTGTTCATCGTGGGCTTTTATATCTACTTGGATTACCGCTGGCAAGGTGTTTTGGTGGCGCAAATTTAAAGATGGCGGACGAACTGGATGTCTGTAAGTTATTTTGATTTATTCGTGTTATTGTAGTTTTTTGTTATTTTTAGAGTCTTAGAATCAAAAATAATGGGTAACACATAATTTATGATTTACACTTTCACCTAAGTGTATATTTGAGTGGGTACTGGCGCACGATCACATTTTTTGCGGCAAAGATTATACGCACGTGTTTCCGATCGCGCGCGTTTGTGCGATATTATCTGGACGATTTTTTCGTATCTGATCTTATAGAGGGCTTCATAGTATAACTAGTGTTTGCTCGAGTATCTTTATTATGGTCTCAATATGTTTGAACGTTAGGATTCACTTTCGATTCTATGATAGTTTGTTTTATGTCTTTTATAGATTTCATGGATAAAAATTTGCTGTTTAACCTTTTTAAGCTTATATTTACTGCGCTGTGTACATAAATTAATAAATTGATTGTTTGAAAATTTCTAGATGAGAGTCACCCAATGCAAGATAGTGATGATGATGCCGATGATGACTGGGAGGAAGTTGATGAAGATGACGAGACTCCAACCAAGTGTTTGTTTTGTAAYGTYGTGTGTGACAACTCACACTCCACATTGAAACATTGTATAGATGTTCATGGATTTAATTTGTACTCAGTAAAGCACCGCTTTGGTAAATRATGTTTGYTCATRTTAACAGAGYGGTTGATTTATTGCTTGTATTGTTATTTTAGAGTTATGCAAGTATTTTTAGTTATATTTGGAYAATTTTGTAACCATGCATTAAACTCTTTAATAACCCACAGAACTAGACTTTTATGGCTGTATCAAATTGATAAATTACATCAGAAAGAAGGTAATTCTTAATTTTGAAAGATTTTCGTTCATTCATATTTACTACAAACGATTGTATGTCATAAAAAAATCTTTTTTTCTTTGTGAACTGGTGCTGATTCTAATACTGAAGTCTGTTGTTGTTGAGYCTGTTGTTCTCTGTATGTTTCAAAAGACAACTTTTATGAGAACAGCACCTTTCCTGTAGAATATTTCAGTTGACCATTTGGCATCTGTATGTCAACCATACCCATGGGAAGATAAAGAGTTCCTTCAACCAGCTCTTAAAGATGATCCACTGTTGTGGTTCGGTAAGTTTTATACAAACTGTGCAGACATAAGTTGATTTAAGGGGATTAATAGAAATCCACTGTTTTATTAGATTTTGATGAAGAACTGGAAAAATTTAAAGACTGTGAAGCAAGTTTAATGTCAAATGGACTGGGGAAAGATGGTGAAGGTATTGAATTTAAGAATTATTATATGTTAGCTATAATTGTATATATGTACATGACTTATGAACATTTTTTTTAAATTTTTAAAACTTTTTAAAATTTCTAAAGTTTGTCACTATGATATATCTAGTTAAGACTAGACAGGTCCTGTATTCAGAAAATAAGTACTATAACATCAGTTTTAATTTCCAGGCTTTGTGCCAATACAGCAGTACAATGAACTCAAGAGCAGGTAGGGTATATTTTTTTTTATCTAAGAACTACTGTAAGTTGTTTTATAATTCAGTATTCTCACCTGTTGCCATTATAATAATCACCACATCATTGCAGTTTCAACACCATTGCTATCCTAACTTCATTGTAGTCTTTGTGTTCTGTTACAAGTTATGCTTTATGGGTATTGGTTTTGTGTTTAAGGTTGTTATTAACAGAGGAAAGAGCAGTTAAAGCTGAAACTGATCTGGCAAAAGCTAGAGATGACATTAACCAATTAAGGTACCTCGATCCTGTTCTACTTCATTGAATAAATTATGACACTTATAATGCACTTTCTTAATTTTTCATTTTTTTTTAATTTCTCCCTTTTGAAATGTGAACGTTTTTTCTTAATTTTACTATTTTCAGAATATTAGCAAAATCATTTCTTGAAGATTATACTCCAAAAAGCAGGTAATATGGAATGATGATTGGTGATAATTAATGAAAACATCATCTTTATCATCATTTGTACATATCATCCAACTAATAAACTTTCCTTATCTACAGAACACACAAAAGTTCCACAGGATCTTCAAGTAAAAATGTTGACGACAATGATGAGGACAGTGCTTACTTTAGCTCTTATGCTCACTTTGGAATCCATGAGGAAATGTTGAAGGTATTTACAAGCTGTTTCTCTTATGAACCACAGGAAACCCATACCACATACCTGAGAAAGTGTTTTCTGTCATACTGCAAAATGTACAGTAGACATATCTGATAATATGCGGATGGGCTAACATGACTGTGCTTTTTGTAATGTCGCTGTACTTTAGGATAAAGTAAGGACAGAGAGCTACAGAGATTTTATCTTGGGAAATCCACAATTTTTTCAGGATAAGGTAAGGCAGTTAGTACAACAGGAAATAAGCTTGTTATTAATAATAATAAATCATTCAATTAATCAGTCATTTATTCAAGACATTTAATATTCATTTGGATATAGGTTGTGCTCGATATTGGCTGTGGAACTGGTATTTTATCCATGTTTGCTGCTAAAGCTGGAGCTCGGCATGTAGTYGCMGTTGACCAGTCAGAAATCATATATCAAGCTATGGACATTGTACGGTAAGGCTGACTAGATTTCTTGAACCTACACAGTCTTTCTCAATGGATAGAATAGATATCACACTTTCACAATTGAAGTTCTTTACTTATTTTATATTTTTTTAATCAATTTCTCAGTGAAAATGGACTTGAAAAGGTTGTCACTTTGGTAAAAGGAAAAGCTGAAGAAATCTCACTTCCAGTCGATAAAGTAGATGTTATTATATCAGAATGGATGGGTTATTTCCTCTTGTTTGAGTCTATGTTGGATACTGTACTGTTTGCTAGAGATAAATGGCTCTCACCAACAGGAAAAGGTATGAAACAGAACTCAAAACAGTTGTCATTGAGTGTTGCCTATGCTATGTTCTATATATATTGTATTATTATTAATATTATGAGCAATAGTACAGTCCTATACATCAATTGTCAGCTCATAAGATTGTTCATGATTATTTTTACTTCAGTTTTTCCAGAACACTGCACAATTCATCTAATGGCAATGGGAACTCTTGAGAATCAACCAACAAAATTAAGCTTTTGGGATGATGTATATGGTATGACATATTACAAGAAGAAGTATTACTCTATCATCATTTTGCTTTGCCTCATTGTTCTTTGTTTAGCACAGTTAATACATCTAGTATACTAGGGTCTGGGATTCCTTGATGATCCAGTACTTGGCAGGAAACAAATTTGGTTTTCCCAAGAGTATAGTAACTGCACCACTGGTCATAGCTCTAGCTTTTAGAAACTAAAGATTAGATGGGAATGCATGTCAATTTTATTTCYCCCCACCCCTCACCAACATGAAAAGCTCTGTAAGAAAGACATACATAAAAATTCAAGGGAGGTTTTTTTTCGTAGGATTTAAAATGTCTTGTATGAA